AGATCTCTTGCTCTGAATGTAACCCCAAACCATGATTTTTTCCTTCGCCAAACTTGACTGATTTCTGAGAGAATTTTGGGTCCATGTTCCAAAGGGTCTTCTGCCGTATTTGTGATTGGGATGCAGCTCAACAGATGATTCATTGGGAAAATCTACCTTCTGCCTCTTTTTCAAATGATCAACTAGAAGTCAAGTTATTATTTGTTGCTCTTACAACTGGGATCGATGACAAGACATTTGTCAAGTAGTGTATTGAATTAATTAAAGATTAGTGCCTGGAATTTAAATGTTTCTGTCGTGTTGCATTATCTGCAGACAGACAAGTTGCTTATCGCTGTAATCTTGTCACGTGTTGTTTGGACATAGTGTTAATGGTGATTTTTAAATGTTCACTTTTGCGTGAGCTATCCCTTTAAAAAAGCTCAATTTATTTGAATTATTTTGTCATATTACAAAAGTCTTGTGGGTTTTGCTCAATCCAACACATTTGCAGAATTAATTTTAAAATTATTTATATATTTTTTGTTCAATATTTGAATGGAATGAGTCATTTCAGAGGTAAACAGTTACAACATTTCCTCAAAATATACAAATATAAAACGTCCTGTTAACATAATAAGACCATATTTTAAGGATAGTTCACCCTAAAATGACATTTCTGTCATCATTTACTCACACTTCACTTGTTCAATCAAAACCTATTTGAGCTTCTTTCGTCTGTTGAATGCAAAAGTAGATATTTTGAAAAATGTTGGTAGCTGGTACCCATTGACTTCCATAGTCATTCTTATTTTATCCCACATTGGAAGTCGATGGGTTCCAGCAACCAGCATTCTTCAAAACATCTTGCTTAGTGTTCAAGAGTAGAAAGAAACTCATGTTAAGATTTAAAAACCACATGAGCAAGTTATAAATGATGTGGTAATTTAGGTGAACAATCCTTTATACGACTAATCTGTGTACATGTTATTCTTAGGAAACTGGGAAATTAGATGAAAGCAGAAACATTTTTGAGCAGCACAGGATTTTGAGGCTTGTTAGAATGAGGCAGAATATAAGCGGAGACAGGTCATCCGATCACTTCAGTGCACATCTGTCTGCTTAACTTCCTCATTCACAGCTGGGTTTCAGTCGCACACATTCATCCTGAAATGTATGTGTGTGTGTGTGTGTAACGCATTCATTAATCACTCGCTCACTATAACCTGCGTTAATTGTAGCTTTTATTTACTGCCAGACATTTATAGATCGTCAGCTCTGTCTCCATGTAAACATGATTCAGGATTAGATGATAATTCAGTCTGTATGCAATGAATGAGGCATGATTTATCAGCGGATGACTCTTTACTGCTGTTTAGTGGAGGCAGGGCGTAAACAGTCTGTGTGCAATGTGTGGAGTGATTCCATTACTAGCATGCGTCACAGATTTCTTCTCAAGCTTTTGTGTATCTTGCATTTTACAGACTCTTTTCACAGATTGTTTCAACTGTTTCAACACATACAGTTTGATAACCCTTTTGTGAAATGCTTGTATTTCTTTTTCAATTATTTCTTAATTCATATTAATTGGAACAAGGATGTTTTTCTTCCTTCGTATTTCTTAATTTTTATTTTATTTTATTTTTTTAAGTTTGGCTGGAATAAAATAATTTGAATTTTTTAAAAAACTATTTTAAGGTCAATATTGTTAGTCTCCTTAGAAATTTTTTCCTTCTTCGATTGGATACAGAACAAACAACTTTTATCAAATGACTTCCCTAATAACCCCAACTTGCCTAATTAACCTAGTTAAGTCTTTAAATTACACTTTAAGCTGAATACTAATATATTGCTAATAAATAACAAGAAAAAAGAATATATACTCTCATAATTTAAAAGACAAAGATGTTAGAAATGTAAAAATGAGTTGAAAAATGTGTTAGTATTAATATAAATTTAGGAAATATTTTTCTTTTTAACTATTAATTTTATATTTATAATGCTGTACTTGGTGGTTTCTGTGCTTGACATTAAATTACAGAACAATTATGGTAATTTTACTGTGTTTCTAATATGGAGCTAATGAGGGAGCTAATTTGATATATACTACCTGACAAAAGTCTTGTCGTCAATCTCAGTTGTAAGAGCAACAAATAATAACTCGACTTTTAGTTGATCATTTGGAAAAGTGGCAGAAGGTAGTTTTTTTTTTTTAGATGAATCATCGGTTGAACTGCGACCCAATCATCACAAATACTGCAGAAGATCTATTGGAACCTCCATTGACCCAAGATTCTCACAGAAATCTGTCAAGTTTGGTGAAGGAAAAATCATGGTTTGGGGTTACATTCAGTATGGGGGCGTGGGAGAGATCTACATAGTGGATGGCAACATCAACAGCCTGAAGTATCAAGACATTTGTGCTGCCCATTACATTACCAACCCCAGGAGAGTGGGATTCCTCAGTGGGATTCCTCAGTGGGAATTCCTCAGTGGGATAGCGCTCCCTTTACTTAAGCCTCCACATCAAAGTTTCTGAAAGCAAAGAAGGTCAAGGTGCTCCTGGATTGGCCAGCCCAATCACAAGACATGAACATTATTGAGTATGTCTGGGGTAAGATGGAGGCATTGAAGATGAATCCAAAGAATCTTGATGAACTCTTGGAGTCCTGCAAGATCATTTTCTTTGCCATTCCAGATGACTTTATTAAGTTATTTGAGTCATTGCAGTGATGTATGGATGCAGTCCTCCAAGCTCATGGGAGTCGTAAACAATTTTTTTTTTTCCACTGCATCATGACTTTATTTTATAGACTGCACATTATTCCTATTAAGCAGCAAGACTTTTGTCTAAGCAAAGTCAGACCTTACTGTCCTAATTAAATAAATTAAAAATCAAGGCATGATTATATTTTTTTTTGGTAAAGTAAGCGTAATCTAGAGGCCTTTGCCTTCATATAAGCCACTTCTGATACCAAATGATCAACTAAAAGTCAAGTTATTATTTGTTGTTTCTAAAACTTGGATAGGCGACAAGACTTGTCAGGTAATATTATTCTAAATCAAAGCAAATATAAAGATCATAACGTTTTTTTTTTTTTTTTTTTCAGAAAGTAAGTCATGCTGGCACAATTTCAGTCTATGTTGATTACGTCCAGCTGAAATGGAATAATGAGTTGGGGGCATGGTTTTATTTTTGTGCATCATTGCCTCATAACTAACAGTAAGAGGGGTGTGGCTAAGAATATTGTGGTTGAATTAACTTTCATAGATGAATTATTCACCTAAAGAATAGTTTGACCCAGCAAACATTGTGATTTTTGATTTGTCACCTCTTTTGCCTTCGGACTATGTAAAAATGTGAAAAGGATCCTCACTTTTGTTTGTTTAGGGGTTTTTTTTGAATGAAGATTACCAAAACAAGCCATTTTTTTTAAATAAAATCAACTTGCGTGGATTAATTGTTCAACCTAGGGATAACAATGTGCGTGCACAAATTTTTGATTTTGCACTGCTCTTTTATCTTTGAACTGTATTAAAAAACGTGAAAAGAGTTTTTTTTTATTAAAGAGTACCAAAATGGACTATTTTTTTATAGAACCATCTTGCATGAATTAGTTGTTCACCTAAAGCAGAGGTGCCCAAACTTTTTCGTATGAAGGGCCAAAATCCAAATATCCTTTAGGAATCGTCGGCCAAAGGTAACTATACCAAAGTATATTACATTAAAAACGCAATGGGTAATTTCCTAATATATTTAATAACATTTCAAAATAAATAGAAAACATTACCTTAAATCATATTAATTAATGCAGTATAGAATTTTAAAATGGTAACTCATTGCAAATTAAAACAAACAATCACATTTATAACACACTAAATACACTAATCAAGCGGAATATGCCTTTAACTTGATTTACCCACCATGGTCTCTGCTTTGTCGGGTGACAGTGCGTACATTAAACAAAATCTGATTAATTTACACTAGGGATGTCCAGATACGATCACTTGATCGGAAATCGGGCCTGATCACTCGGTTTCAGACTCGATCGGAATCGGACGTTACCTCCCGATTTAATATATTTTTAAGACATCTATAGTTATGCGGTGGCACAGAGTTAGACTTCTTTCTTGACTTCACACAGAAACAGCAACGTGTGCGGCATGACAACACCTTGTTGCAGAGACGCTATTGGTTAAATGCCGGCAAAGCAGCACACGGAAACAACTTGAAGCGGAAAGCGCGAGTATGTCTGCAGTCTGGAGGTATTATAAAGTTGATGACGACAACATTGCCATAGCAAACATTATAATAAGGGAAAGGCTATATTTAACACAACAAACCTGATAAGACACCTCGAAAACAAATGTAGAACCTCTATTTGAAATGCCGTCTCTCCACTATTTCACAGAGGAAGCCACTGCCAGCCCTTTATAAGAAGACTACTCGTCCTGTTATAAGATGTACCCCATGTTTCGTTCACCACAGACATATGGAGTTCATCTGTAGCTCCCATGTCTCTACTAAGCCTTACCGCTGAATGAATTGACTCCATCCTGATCAGTTTCTTTGCTCTTCTCTAATTTTTTTTTTATGTATTATAGACGTATCGGTTCAGATTCGGTATTGGTAGATACTCAAAAGCAAGTGAATGTGACTCATACTCGAGGGCAAAAAAACCTGATCAGGACATCCCTAATTTACACACTTTAAACATTTGATTTCAGTTACTTTGTTACAATCAAACGAAAAAAAGGGTTACATTAAACAATCTCTAAACCATCCCCATCATTCTCCCTCTATTCTCAGATGGTGGGCCAAATCAAGTTTGGCTCTAGTTTGGGCACCTCTGACCTAAAGAATAACAATGTGCGCCATCAAACGTTGCCATTTTTTATTTCACACCCCCCTTTCGTCTTTTGACTATGTAAAATCCTGAAAAGAGTCCTCACTCTGGTGTTCACCCTTTACTCATTTAATTCTCTCTTTCTTTCTCATCCTATATATCTGCAATTCTCAGACTTGACCAGCAGACCCCGTAGTCCTCCCCAACCGCCGCCTCCACCCTTGCCTCCAGGACGCCCCCCGCCCCCAACCCCGCCCCAGGAGCGCGGACCCGAGCCTGAGGTGGCCGGCGGAGGCGGAGCGAGCAGCGGGGCGGAGGAGTGCGAGGAGCGAGAGCGGGAGCCAGCGCTTCTCCAACTGGAAGGGGTGGAGGGAGAAGAGCGCGAAGGAGGAAGAGCGAGAGCTATCGACAACCAGTACTCCTTCTTCTGAACCCAGAACCAGGACAGCCCTTCACAATCAGTATTTTCAGTATTCTCCAACTGACTGATTTATTATTAACACTATTAAACATGAGCTTTCACCATGCGAGAGAGGGAGATATATATATATATATAAATAGAGAGAGAGAGAGAGATTCATACACATTGACGGTACATTTTTAAAACACTAAAGTATCGGTACTACACTAAATCAGAGGTGCATTGTGAAACTGTTGGGTCGGCTTTTACTAATTGGTTTCTCCAGCGTTTGTCAGTGTGAACGTTTCCTCCTCTGGTGCTTGTTGATTTTGCATAGGAAGGTACGACCATGAGCGCCACCGTTTTTATTTTAGCATTTCGTAACGAGTCGCAATTTCAAGTCGGGACTCGGGATGACTAGTATTCTTTAACCCTTCGCACTTATACAAAAAATAATTTTTTTGGTCGTTTGTTGTTGTTGTTGTTGATGTTGAAATTTTTACTTGTTCAGAGATTGTTACCCACCAGCACTCTTGTTATTGTTGTTATATTATTATTATTATTAATACTGGAGACGTTTTAGTTGATTTCTTTATGTTCTGCCACTGACAAACTACGAATGTCGCAAAAAAAAAAAAACAACGATACAAAAACCAAGTAATAACTATTCTTCCTGTTACTTTCAGTTGTGATTATTTTGCTAGATACTACCTTGGGCTTAACAAAGTTTTGCCAAAAAAAAAAAAAAAAAAAAAAACAAGCAGAAGAAAAACAAAAGCAAGCCCAGTCATCTGAAGTCCGGTAGTATTACTTATTTTTAAGGTTAATTACTATAGTAAACATCTCCATAGACTCCATCATTACCTCAGAGTCCTGATCTGTCACCCAGCTCCTCTGCTCTCTCTCTCTCTCTTTCTCTCTCTGTCTACATTTTATCTTTCCTTTTAGCTTTACGATCTTTGCTTTTATTGGTGCGTTTATTTCAAAGCTGCAGTCCAGAGGAGGGAGAACGTCCTTCATTTAAAAGCGAAATTACTGAGTATGAATATGACAATAATAACTGTTGATGATGCTTTTAATGAATTTAATAATTGTCAGAATAATAGTATTATTTTATTTTTTCGTTTGTTTAAATATGCCTTTATTTTTGTTTACTATACGAACACAAACACTTTTTTTTTTTCTTTTCCAAGATCTGTTTCTTAATATTTTGTGCCTTTTTATATCTCTCTTCTGATCTCACTGCTGTCTCCTTTGCTTTCGGTGTCCAACAGATTTCAGGAAAAAAGGATAAAAAAAACAGCCCCTTTCTTCTTGTGCCTTTTCGTGTTGTTCTCCGTCATTCCCTCTTGTTTTTGTGCCAGTCATTCTTTGATTTCGTGCCTCGATCTGTCCTCTCATGCTTTATTGATCCCCTACAGGTCATTCGCTATCAGTTGTTCTCCACACTTTTACCTTTTATTTAAACCTCTTATTGTGCCTTCTCTCTCTTTTCTCTTCTCTTCTCTTCTCTCTCTCTCTCTCTCTCTCTCTCTGTCTGTCTGTGCTGGGACCGTGTGTTAAGGTGGACACTCTTGCCCACTCTGTGTAATTAGAGTTTCAGGTACTACATTGAATTTAATGATGATGACGATGATGATGATGATAATAATATGATATAATATAATTATACTGAAACAATATGTCTTGAGTTGTGTTTAATTATGACTGGATGGATGGATGGATATAATTTTATTTTCATAAGCATAGAAAGATGGATGGAATGTTTAGATAGATAGTGGGAGAGAGAGAAACAGAGAGAGATTTTTTCAACGTAAACATTGATATTTCGAATATAGTTTATGTAAACATTTGTTAGAATGTTTTATAGTAGATTGATAGAATTTTATTTGTAGATAGATAGATAGATAGATAGATAGATAGATAGATAGATAGATAGATAGATAGATAGATAGATAGATAGATAGATAGATAGAATTTTATGTAAGCATAGATATATCAATGAATGTAAGCATAGATGAAAAGTTCTATAGATGGAGGGATAGATGGATGATTTTATTAACAAAATCATAGATGGATAGTTTATGTAAGCATAGATGGATGGATGGATGGATGGATGGATAGATAGATAGATAGATAGATAGATAGATAGATAGATAGATAGATAGTTTCTATGATAGAATTTTATTTATGTAAGCATAGACATATCAATGAATATAGATGGATGGATGGATGATAGAATTTTATTTAATAAATCAGATATATAGACGGATAGTTTAATCATAGATGGAATGTTCTTTAGATGAATAGTTTTATTAACGTGAACATGGATGAATATAATTTTATTTAGGTAAGCATGGATAGAGAAAACTTTATTTACAAAAGCATAGATATATCAATGAATAGATATAATTTATAACGTAGATGGATTGTTCTTTAGAAGGACTGACACGTGATAGATAGATAGATAGATAGATAGATAGATAGATAGATAGATAGATAGATAGATAGATAGATAGATAGATAGATAGATAGATAGATAGATAGATAGATAGATAGATAGATAGATCGATCTTTACGTAAGCACGATTCTTTTCGCAAAGCATGTTGTACGTGTGGCTGCCGACGTGATACGGGCCTTGTACGCTATTGCGTCATCACGCGACGTATGACAGTGTCGTCCAATGACAGTCGAAGGTTTTTGAAAAAACAGCCATCGCGTTCATCGCTGGCTAATTCGCGAGACGTGGTGCCGGTAATATTTAATAGAAAAAATAAGGCTTGTTGCCTTTTCGTGTTGCGTTCGCGACGGAATATCGGACCGAACTGGACTTCGCGCTTTAACGGAGATCGCGCTCGTGCGGACCTGAAATCGCCGCGGAAAAACTACAAAAATAACACCGCAGGCAGGCTAGTCCACATACTAGCTTGTCATAGGCAACAAGGGGAATTTAGCGGGCAACTCAGTTAGCGGCTAGTTATGTCTTTTCGCCGACAGAACGTGAGTAGCACATCTACAAATTGCAGTCATTTTTGAACATAAATCGTATCAGTTGAAAATATGAAAGCGTGTATGCTTCAAATGTTGTCGCCCTCCCTTTAGCTTCCACTTTCGCATTACGGTAACATGCTAGTAAACCACCTAGCCATCGCTGCTCGGCTGGACTTTTTAATATACGTGAATGTGTTTAATACTTGTTTTATGTCAGCATTTGAGAATGGTTGTGCTTTCTAACAGCAACCTGGACCCGGTGGCCGCAAAACATCCAATGGAACTTCAGGGTCAATGGCTTCATCCGTTCCGGGGAGCAACTCTAACAGACCCAACCCGGGGAGGTAAAGCACATGTCGGGCTGGCCCGCGCAGAAAGTCCGCGGCTTGTCATTTTAACACGAGGCCTACCGGTCAAAGTGGGCGTGTTCCTAGCGCATTCCTAATCTATTTCCACGAGCGCCAATAATTTCGAGGCTCGTTTAATTGGCGTGAGCAACAGCCAATCGCCGTGCAGAGAGTTTGATTGGCAGATTTGCAGGCCAATGATGGAGAGAATTGTCGTCGACAATTCATGCCCACCCAGCGAGAGTGTTTTCAACCAATAGGATTTAGGTTATAACAGATTGGCATGTTTTGTAGCCTATAAGTGGTATCGAAGGCGGGTCGTGGGAAGGGATCAGCAGTGTTTTGTTGTTGTTTTCGATCCCATATGATTCAGTATTGTGTTCGACTTTCAACTTGAGCCATTTTAGACAGACGCCTTCCAAGAGGAGCCGGGATGCATGTGACAAAAAAGTAGAAACACTCGTTTGTAATTAGCGGTTTGGTTTATTGTAGCGACGGGCACGGAATGTGTACATTTGCGCATGTTAATGTCAAGCTGTTTGTCTTGTCCTGTCTGCGGCACGGCGTTTGCTTGTGTTGCTAACCCGCTTTGCGGTCTGACGTAAATAAAACACGCGCTTGACTGCTATTGTTTACACATTTGCATTAATACATCATATTTTGTCCTGATACGCAACGGGGTTCAACCCGACCGTCATTTTGTTACTCGTGTGTGGTTGTCCTTTTGTTTTCGACTCGCTCAGCGGTGTTGTAATTGTTGTTCATACATGTAACAGAGGAGCAATACCTGCAACACCGGTCTGTGTTTCACGTCTCTCTCAATATACGACACATTTGGGGGATTTCGTAAACATTTATTAGTTTATAAGTAAAATTAGTGTTTAATGTCTACATTTCTGATTGTTTTTTTCTGATAGTTTCCATGTTTTAGTAACCATTGAAATCATTGATTTGTTACAATACACATATGTATGTTTTAAAGATTAATATGTTAATGTTGTGGTATTGGTTTGACTTTTTTTCCCTTTTAGAAACAGAAACTCCGTGAAGACTCCTTCACAGTCACCACCTGTACGTAATTTCCTTTGTGTATCTTGCATTTTCAAATATTTAAATATTTCGACCACTAAAATAACTTGTTATATTTGTAGGTGTTTGAAGGTGTGTACAACAACTCCCGGATGCTCCATTTTCTCACAGCCGTCGTGGTGAGTTTTTGTATAAAAATATAAATTATATATTTGATAGACAACACACTACTTGACAAAAGTCTTGTCGTCTATCTCAGTTGTACGAGCGTCGAGTAATAACTTGACTTCTTGTTGATCATTTGGAAAAGTGGCAGAAGGTAGATTTTTCCAATGAATTATCTGTTGAACTGCATCCCAATCATCACAGGCACTGCAGAATACATATTGGAACCTGCATGGGCAGTTTGGTGAACAAAAAAAAATCATGGTTTGGGGTTACATTCAGTATGGGGGTGTGCGAGAGATCTGCAGAGTGGATGGCAACATCAACAGCTTGAGGTATCAAGACTTTTGTGCTGCCCATTACATTACAAACCACAGGAGAGGGCAAATTCTTCAGCAGCATAGCGCTTATTCTCATACTTTAGCCTCCACATCAAAGTTCCTGAAAGCAAAGAAGGTCAAGGTGCTCCTGAGTTTGGCCTGCCCAGTGACAAGATATGAACATTATTGAGCATGTCTAGGGTCAAATGAAGGAGGAGGCACTGAAGATGAATCCAAAATATCTTGATGAACTCTGGGAGTCCTGCAAGAACACTTTCTTTGCCATTCCAGATGACATTTAATAAATGATTTGAGTCATTGCAGAGATGTATGGATGCAGTCCTCCAATGCAATCCTTTTCCACTGAAACATAACTATTCTATACTGTACATTATTCAAGTCGAGTGACAAGACATTTGTCTAAGCAAAGTCAGACTGTACTGTCCTAATTAAATAATTAAAAATCAAGGCATGATCATATTTTATTTGGGTAAAATAAGCGTAATCTAGAGGCCTTTGCCTTCATATAAGCCACTTCTGATTCCAAATGATCGAGAGGTCAAGTTATTATTATTTGTTTTTTCTAAAACTTGGATAGGCAATAACACATTTGTCAGGCAAGTTGTCAAAAGTTGTCAACTTTTTTAAAATTTTTATTATTACTTTTACTTTAAGGCCCCTATTCTTCATAAAATAGATGTCAAACTTGCCATCAAACTTGTTGGGCAGAATTTGTAAGAGTAGGAAACCCACATTCAGTGTTTTTATTCAGTGCAATCTTGTTTTTGTGTGTGCTTTGGAATGTTTTAACTTGATGCAAAAATGTGCAAATGCTCATATGTATGATTTTTTTCCCCTCAGGGCTCCAGATGCGATGTTATGGTGAAGAACGGCAGCTTGTAT